TCAAAGTCCCTTCAGCGTTGACAGGATTCAGCTCCAGATCCATAAGCAAAGGCGTGTAACAGCAGAAAGAAATTCCGGGGGTGATACTAGAAGCTACAGTTGATAGGCTGGGCCCGTATTCACTCAGAGCGTGGCCCAGCACGGTTTGCAGCATGCGCTGAAGATGCACTCGGAGTGGCTCAAAATTGGGGTCTCCTTTGTCAGGATCTCTCCGCAAGGCATCCTGGTTTCAGCAGCTTTGCAACGAGGTTCTGAAGTATCCAATTGCCGGTGACTAATGCCAGGCTGTCGCAGTGCTGCGCTTGCGAAGAAGCACCTGGCGAGCCTTGGCAGGGCCAACAGATCCGAGACGACACGCTTCAGACTTTAGACGACCGGGAATCCAATTATTGTTGGCTCCGACTGTTTGGATGCTGCCAGCGTGTGCGGATTCAGGGAGAATGATTCCAGAAATCGCACCACGGGGACCAATGCGGCAGGGAGTAGGCACGGTCACCGACACAGAATTCATGGAGGCCAAGTGCCGGCTGTTTGCCGGTCCTTGTGCCTTGATGCTCAAAACGGCTTGCTGCAAACCACAGGTGTAGTTTGTCACCTCATAGATGAACTGGACACTCGGAGATTTTGGTACCCTAGACCCTAAACCCTAAACCGTGCCCCAGACTCACTCTCCTTTCGCGTCTGGGAAATCCACCGGGCGTGAGCATCATGCCAGCAGGTCCATCTCTAAGATCATCATGGGATTTAGGGTTTAGGGTTTAGGGTTTAGGGTTTAGGGTTTAGGGTTTAGGGTTTAGGGTTTAGGGTTTAGGGTTTAGGGTTTAGGGTTTTCGGGAGCAGGCACCATTTAACTCCTAGACTCCTAGGTGACGTCGTTTCCTCCGCAGAGGATGAGCATTGAGTCATTGGTGTTCAGACGGCCGAGCTCCTCTGAGCCCTTCGAGGTCTCTTCCTTGGGGCTGCGCTCGAAGGATCCCTGCCCTGAGTTTAGGGTTTAGGGTTTAGGGTTTAGGGTTTAGGGTTTAGGGTTTAGGGCCTTGAAGAATTATCCATGCAAGATGCCGAAACTCCGTGCCTACGACCCGGCCGCGGCCAAACATGCCATGCAATGGAGGCGGAAGTCTCTCTACTAGTGCTACCCTTGGCAGCCCATCGGGCCCTGACCCATCACTGTTGGGAATTCGGAAGCCTTTTGTTCATACTCAGATTTCAGAGGTGCATTTCGCCCATCGCTGACACCAGCAAACATGGCTCTGAAAGGTTTGCTTGAACGGTGCGGCACAGGCCCTGCATTTTCCTTTAGGCCCGTGCCGGTCGAGGCCCCTTTTCAAGGCCGATACCAGGAACCCTGATGAATAATCCCTCCTTGAGGCGTTCGGAAAATGGCTCATGCAAGCATAGACTTCTACCGCACAGGGCTCCTATAGGAAGTGTCCAGACAGTTAAGGTTCCGGCAGCAAGCCCGAACCTGCTTGTGACAGAGTGAGTGCATGACATGCCCAGCATGACTCCGATTGTGATTCTGGGGATGGGCTGCATGCGGCCGCCCATGTTGGTCTGCAAAGTTGCTAAGTCCCAAAGTTCCTACCCTAAACCCTAGACCCTAAACCTCTTAACCCTAAGCAACAAATTTCCTAAAGAGATCCTCCAGATTCAGATGGGATAGGCACACACACAGGCTTTGCTGAGACACTGCCTCGCATCTTGAGCCTTCAACATCTGTCTCGCCGAGCAGCATCGAGCGAGGCCAAGCCGCGCGTTGGTGAGGGGTTCAGGGCCACGTGCTCCATGGTGAGTCGCGACACGCGAGTTTGCTTTTCCCGCACGCTTGAATGCGTCAAGACTTGAGGACACGCGCAGTGAACTGATGTTGGAAGACTCCACGGTGGCAAGTTCATGTCAAGCTGAGACTGTGGACATGATGTGAGCAGGTTTGACGCAGTCATGACACATTAGGCGCGTCGTATGCGAGCACGTCAGAGTTGACCCTGCCTGCAATCAGCCAGCGTCCTGCTGGAACTACCTGGACCCAAAAGAACCTACCTTTTTAGGGTCCCTTATTATGATTTCTTTATCTCTGTCCAAAAAAAGGTAGGTTATTTGAGGTTAAGGTATGGAATAGGACGGCGTTGGACGTTCGTCTTCTCCCAGGGCATGGATGTCTTTGCCAACGTCGTCAGCGTTTGGCCGTTGGTGACGCCTGCGGTAGATAAAGTGCACACCCAGAGGAGGAAGTGTGACGAAGAATTGGACCATTCGCTTCTTGGCCTGGGGATGCATTCTCAGCGGACTTCCGGAGGGGAAGGTGCCAAGCTGAAGCATGTCAGAGGGTTTAGCGTTTAGGGGAACGGTGAGGTTGGCGAAAGGAAGAAGGCAGCGGGCAGAAGGAGTCTCAAGCTGTCGAAGGGTTGCATGTATCCCATTGCGAGCTCCCACTTCTGCCAGGCTTTTGTGCTTGAGGTGCTTCTGCATGAAGCCCTGAGTGTGAGCTTGGACTTTGGTAGCTCTCTGAATTGTGGCCGCATCTGCCGAACGTGCAACCTGCACTGCAGCAGGACGGCGTGAACCCCTGCTAGGAGCCGAATTGCGGAAAGGAGCATTCACCCCTGCACCCCTGAAGTAGAGATGGGCCCATCCACATGTGCCGGTTTGGTTGCACCTTGACATCCCCCAGCGTCTTGGCAGTTCACGATCTAGGCAGACCTGGGTTAAGGCTCAAGCACCGTTTAACCTTTGGTTGGGCAGTCTAAGGTTCTCATTATCCAGACCGGGCGCAGTCATGGCCGTTGGACCTTCACCGTGCCTAAACCCTAAACGCCCTAAACCCTAAACACCAACCCTAAACCTCTAAACTCCACACCCTCTGAAAGAGTCTCAGGTGCGAGTGGATGGATTGCAAGCAGCCCACCGTTTGGGAAGGAACTCTTTGAATTGAGGCCCGACCTGACCGCAGTGCTGCGCCTTGTGAATGCAAACGCTCGATCACATGCTCGTCTGAAAATCTTCTGGGAGAAGGCGCAAAAAAGGGGGTATGTCTTGTTTAGGGTTTAGGGTTTAGGGTTTAGAAGGTGATCTGTAGCATGCACGCAGCACTTCTTCCACCTACTAGGAGTATCTGCAGATTAGATGACAGCATCAAGGGCATGCAGCGTATGCGATAGAATACACATGTACTTGGAGATTTCATGTAAGGCACGCAAGATGGTCCAGATGGTAGGCAGCATTCAGATAGTTCTTCTGATGTAGATAGAATGTAGGATGCATCATGAGTCCGCACATTGACCGTTTCCTATCTAGCTCAGGATGATGTCCTGCAAGGTGGTGTGATGTCAGGTGCACCTGTCACAATAGGGCATGTTGTCTTCGTTAAGTCGACTTAGACGGCTTCTGGCTCAATTGCTACAAGTAGCAGCCGGAACCGAATCCAGGCTCTACGTGATTCTCATGTGAAGGATTCGACCAGGCAATTATTCCGACGTATCCTCAAAGTTCTGCTATCAGATCATTGGATCCTAAACCCTAAACCCTAAACCCAAACCCTAAACCCTAAACCCTAAACCCAAACCCTAAACCCTAAACCCAAGCTGCCACTACTCTTGAGAACCGTGGTATACGCAAGTATGAACGTGCACCGCATCCGCCTCGCCCTCCTTGGCAAGGCCAGGCGCTGAGACCAAGGAGATAAGTGGTTGGGGTTTAGGGAAGTTTAGGGGTTTAGGGGTTTAGAGTTTATGGGTTTATGGGTTTATGGGTTTAGGGTTTAGGGTTTAGGGTTTAGGGTTTAGGGTTTAGGGTTTAGGGTTTAGGGCGAGGGGAAGGGGCCAGATGTAGGGTTTAGGGGTTTAGGGTTGAGGGTCAAGGGACTAAAAGAGGGACCCTTAAAGGGACCCTTGGGGTTATATAGGGGCTTTATGAGACTATATAAGGGGTATATAAGGGCTATATAGGGCATTTGGATTAGGGGTCCCTTCTAGGGGTCCCTCCTATTGTCCCTCAAGAGGGGTGCTGAAACCCTAAACCCTAAACCCTAAACCCTAAACATGGTTCCTTGGAAGGTCGTGACACCCCCAACAAGTGTGTGCAATTGCCTAACTTAGGGTTTAGGGTTTAGGGTAACCCTTTACCCGGCAACGGGGAACTTGTCTTGAGGTGGAGCTGGTGGCTGCCCGCGATGCAGGCCTGTCAGCAAGAAAACTCGACCCCTACAGTGCATCCTGTCGCCCATTGGGGGCGATCCTTCAAGAGGTAAGCTTGTGAGATTTTGGGCGAGCAGCCCTTACCCGAAACCCAAAACCCAAAACCCGAAACCCAAAACCCTAAATCCTAAACCCTAAACATTAAACCCCTTTGAGCGCTGTTTTGTGGAAAAGTAGCCATTCGGCCAAAAGGCTAGAGACTCTGAGAGTTGATTGGCAAACAGAAGATCTCTGTGCTCACCATCGCCCGCGTCTTGGCTGTGGCCCTGCTGCTCTTCGGGCTTTGCGAGTCCTACCGCATTTGGGTCCTTCTTGGCTACAGCTGTATATATTTTTTGTTATAATAAGGACCAATACGGATTAAACATTGTATATATATATATACAATTTTTTGTTATAATAAGGACCAATAAGGACTAAACATGATCATTTTTAAATATAGCCCCAACATGGAGCCAGGCGTGACAGACAATGTGGTGGAAGCGAGCGTTGAGGAAGAAGCCTGCGACGTGAACACCTGCGTCACCTTCGAGGATGCTAGCAACGCATGCTCTTGCCAGCCTTTCGTGGCAGATCCCGTCTTGCTCGAGCGAGCTGAAAAGACTCTCTACGAAATCGTTCAAGCTTCGAGGTACCTGACTGATCGGCAGGCAGAGTCTCCCGGCTTCATACGGTCCTTGTATCCTGTGACTTACAAGTAGATAGCCAACGGGAGAACTTTAAACTTCTTGGCTAAATATATTAGGTCTATTCTAAAAAGGTTTGAACTTTTTTGGGCCTGGTTGTTGAAGAAGAGAGGTGAGGATGTTCACGACGATGAAGCATGCGTCCCTCCTGAGCTCGACCATGAAGGACTTCGAGTTCCTGCAGAGTGCCATGGATGTCCTGGAAGGTGGGAGTTTCCGAACATAAGGGATACGTTGTCTGGGGGTCCTTATCATAGGGATCCTAAACCCTAAACCCTAAACCCTAAACCCTAAACCCTAAATCCTACTATTTAGGTTACTATATTAGGGTCCCCTATTTTCGGAAACTCCCCAGTGTCGATGACCTGGCAGACGAGTCCGCGAGCAACCTTGTTACTGGAGACTTCAAAGCCCCCGCAGGTGGGTAGTTCTCTAAATTAGGGTCCTAAACCCTAAACCCTAAACCCTAAACCCTAAACCCTAAACCCTAAACCCTAAACCCTAAGCCCTAAACCCTAAACCCTAAACCCTAAACCCTATTTTAGAGAACTACCCAGGTGCCTTTCCTATCATGGTGGAAGTCTGGGACAGCGATGTGACGAGATCCCAGTTCATCGGAGAGGTTGGGGTTTAGGGTTTAGAGTTTAGGGTTTAGGGTTTAGGGTTTAGGGTTTAGGGGTGTGACCCGATCCCAGTTCATCGGAGAGGTTGGTGTGGGCCTGTCCTTGGGAGAGCAGAGCTATACCTTGCCGCTACGACCCAACAAGAATTGTGGCACGAAGAGCTTGGAGAAGGCCGAGAAGGGATCTATTGGCACAGTCACCTTCACCACAAAGGTTGAGATGGGCGCCAAGACGCTGTGTAACCCGGGCAAAACAGAGGAGTGCGCTCCGATCACTGTGACGGTGTCTTGTGACAAAGCTTCTGGATTGCCCTCAATGGATCAATTCTCAAAATCAGATCCCTACTGCAAGGTTCGGCTGAAATCTTCGGATACACAGCCCTCGGCACATTTCAAGACCAAAGCCATCGACAACACGGCAAACCCTGACTGGACCAGTATGGAGCACAGCTTCACTGCCTCCTTCCTGGTGCTGGTCGACGAAGACAGGCCCTGGAGCATTGACTCCATGAGCTTGACCGGGCAGTTCATGGCCAACACGCGGCTCATGGCCAAGATGATGGTTCTCGGCGGGGTGGAGTGTCCAGACATCGAGTCAAAATCCAAGAGGCAACAGCAGGTAGGGAGTTCTCAAATTCGTGAGCTCATTCCGCAGGGGATCCGTGTAATTGCGATCCCTTTGTTTTGGTGGCTTTACTGAGACCTTTGATTTCAGCAATGTGCAGGTCTGCGATCTGCTTTGGGCGCCCACAACGTCTATCGACCCTGCCACGCTTCAGGAAGCGGCGGGGTCTTTGAATGCCGAAGATGCCCAAGTAATAGCCAAAATGGCAGAGGATACCAAGGATGCAGGCAGTGAAAGCAGCTTGACAGAGATGGGCCTTGGCGAGCCTTGTCTGAAGTTTGCATTGAACCCAGGGACTCCAATATCCCTTAATTAAGGAATATTCCTTAAATTATAGTAGGATCCTTAATATGATTTAAGGAATATTCCATTCCTTAATTCAGGGATATTGGAGTCTCTGGGAAATTCAGTTCTGCGTCCATCATTCGCTCATCTTCACAGATTATGTACAATGTACAGAGACACCCTAAAACCCTAAACCCTAAACCCCCCTAAACCCTAAACCCGAAGAGAGTCTAATCCATGAAGTGGTTCTAAACCCTAAACCCTAAACCCTAAACCTTAACTTCTAAGGACGACGAGTCCCAGCGCGCCCTCCTGGCAAGGCCGGGTTGCAGTTGTTGCCACATGGCCCGTCATCGAAGGGCACGTCGCCACTTGGCGTTCTTCTGGGTGGCTCTTAGGACTTTAGGGTTTAGGGTTTAGGGGTTAGGGGTTAGGGGTTTAGGGTTTAGGGTTTAATTTTTGGGGCTTCTATATGAACTATGATGGGTAGGCTAAAAGTTCGGAGGGGTTCAGAAGTCAGCCAAGGCCATACTCACTACCATGGTCGCACCTACTACAGCGGGCACTCCTACGACCGTCGTCGCTACTATCGGAGCACTCCCCGTGTGTACAACCATCGGGATCCGGACCCCAAAGAAGACGGAAAGGTGACCGTGATTGCTGCGGTTCTCGTCCTCTTGCTCATCTTCTTGTGACCATTGCACGGGCAACAAGCAGCGGCGGTCGCCACAATGATGGCCAGCAGATTTGGTGCAAAAGACGAGCTTCTGCACCATGATCTTGAAAAGCGCCCTTCTGTAAACTGATTTCTGCGAAGACGGCTTAGGTGATAGAACATCGTCCCTTTTGGGGTACCCTAAATAATAGGTGCCGTACTATAATAAGGACCCAAAAAGGGACCATAATTTTGACGACTACCCACATAGATTCATGAGTATGTTTATATCTTTCCTGCAGTTAAACTTGACTAAACTGGGTTTACTCAGGGGATTACAAGTAAGGACAATAATTGGATCCTCATCAGGATTTGCTTAGGGGGTTCCTTTTGGTGATATTCTAAACTCCTTAAAGGGGAATCATAGAGGGGACCATATGAGGTCTCCATTATAGGGGCCATGATGGGGGAAACAAGGAGTGTAGACTACAGCCCATAGTACCATAGCTCATGCTGGTGCATAGCCAGAAAGCCGCAAAGTATATAATGCTGAAGATAAGCCTTGCAGAATCCTCATTAAGCCCTGTCTTGTTCTGTGGGCAAGAATCCAAGAATGTTTTTCAATCAACGCTTTGGGTACTGCCGCCACTTAGAAACAGTTGGATAGTTTTAAAATATGGATATGTAAAGCCCTTAATGTTAACCTTACTATCGACTGTTATAGGGTGGCGGCAGTACCCAAGCAATCCCAAAAAACAGTCCCTAGAAGCCGGCATGCTCCTTGATTCACAGCTTTCGGAGAAACAGCGCCTGAGCAGGAGTTGCACCATTTCGCGTTTTGCTATCCTCGTGCTGTGACAAAAACACATCTCCGTGCATCTTGCCCATCAAAACATGAGCTGCAAAGGCATGCGCGCAGGCCTGACAATCACTGGCGTTCACGGGTGGTTCTGGCTTTGCACATTTACTTCGAAAATGTAACATGTTTAGATGCAGGCAACGTGCACTTCTTTAGCAGCGTTGCATGGTGCACGGTGCCCGGCTTCACGTGACAGCATGCTCAGGTCTCGCTCTGCTGCAATGTGCGATGCATGGGGTATCAATGCTGAAGAACCCTGGGCCTTGACAGGCGGATCTGTTGAAGAAAAAGGTTCTTTCATTGCATTTGTCCATGCGCCAAGCAGGTGCTGGGGCCGCTGGGGTCTCTTTGTTGTGCTGTGCATTTGTTCAAGACATTGCTTTGCCGACCGCTGCACTGCAGACCAGTGAGTGTAATGCAATACGGAGGATTTCGCAGCCAAGGCGTACTTTTCTGGAGACAAAGCCCTAAAACTTGCCACTTCCTCTTGGATTGCACTGCACCCACGAAGCAAGATCTTGCTAGCTGGAGTGTGGATGTCGGCTTTGTGATCCAGCGCTCCCTCAACTCTCAACCCTGTGTCCCTTCAAAACTGTTCAAAACCCTCAATCCCTCAACCCTTAAGCGTCTTCAACATTCTTCCTAAAAATCCCTAAGCCCTCAACCCTAAACCCTAAACCCTAAACCCTAAACCCTAAAAGCCCCCTATGCCCTCAACCCCTACGGCCCTGCACGAAAGAGCATTCGTGATGCAGCCGGTACCGCACTGCAGCTGGCCAGCTGCCTTCGAACCAGGTCTCAAGGCCAGAGTCTCTTCGGGGAATTAGGGGTTTTAGGGGTTTAGGGGTTTCGGGTTTAGGGCTTAGAGTTTAGGGTTGAGGGGATTTAGGGTTCAGGGTTTCGGGGTTTAGGGTTTTAGGGTTTAGGGTGTTGGGGTTAAGGGATGTAGGGTTGAGGGGTTTAGGGTTTAGGGTTTTGGGGTTAAGGGTTTAGGGGTTTAGGGTTTCTAAACCCTAAACCCTAAACCCTGAAGCCCAAACCCTGAACCCTAAACCCTAAACCCTAAACCCTAAACTCTAAACCCTAAACCAGCCAACTTATTAGGTCCGATTTTAGATCCGAAGCACTACAAGATTTAAACCTTAAAGCCCTAAACCCTAAAACGCGAGAGCCTCAAACCTTAAATTGCCAAAACCCCAAAAGGCCTACTGACACTCCAATGCAGTAGTAGGGCTTTTTTTCGGTTTAAGGTTCATGGTTTAGGATTTTGGCTTTAAGGTTTAGGGCTTTAGGCTTAGGGTTTCCCCAAAGGCCTGAACCTTAAACCCTGTTTTGGCAACTGCAAAGACAGGCTTTGAGTCGTTCTACCACGCCGCTGGCCCAAGCTTTGCCCGGGAGACCGACGGATTTCAGGGCGAAAGCGGACTCAGCCTCCTCAACACCCTGGCGATGGTGTGTGGCAGGACCCCACCTGCAGGCTAGGGGTTGGGGCTTCTGGTTTAGGGTCTCTGAAGGGTTTAGGGTTTAGGGGTTTAGGGTTTAGGGTTTGGGGTTTAGGGTTTAGGGTTTAGGGGTTTAGGGTTTAGGGTTCAGGGTGATAGAGACTTAGGATTGCTGTGGGGTTGCGCGCGAAAGCGCGTCCGCAGCTGCACAATCTGACAGGAGGAGCGGCGCTGGCTCTGGCTAGGCGGGTGCTCTGGAAAATCCCAGAAGCTTGAACCCGAACCCCTAAACCCTAAACCCTAAACCCTAAGCCCTAAACCCTAAAGCCCTAAAGCCCTAAACCCTAAAACCCCTAAACCCTAAAGCCCCTAAACCCTAAAACTCCTAAGCCCTAAACCCCAAGATCCCGAAGCAGGAGACTCCCGAGACCCCCAAACACCAGGCCCTTGCCACCAAGCTTAGAAGCATTTTCAAGTTGGTTCTATAAGGTTTAGGGTTTCGGGTTGAGGGTTTCGGGTTTAGGGCAGACTCCTGATTCATTCTTAGACGAGAAACCAACCCCGTCGCTACATAGAAAAGATAAGAGCGATCCTAATTTCTCATGAATCAAGGGTCTGCATCTGCATTTCCCCTAGACCCTAAACCCTAAACCTGCCTCGTAAGCCCCAACTTTCCCCGGATGCAGGTTTCGCAACACCTCCAGCCGAGCTCGCGGGAACATTGCCAGAAAGTCCACACAAACGACGGAGATTGAATCTTGTTGTAAAATCATTACCTAAACTGTGATTCTATTACCAAAACTGTGGCTCGAAACTCGAACCTCTATTGTTCGAGAGCCCGGTACAGGGTTTAAGGTGTATGGTTTGGGTTTTGGGTTCATCTTCCGAGTGTAGACCCTGCTGCGCGCAGACAGGTAGGAGGCAGTCGATAAAATAGCCCCCTACTAGAACTAAAGCCCCAAACCTAAAGCAGTCTCGTGGAAATCCCACTCTTGTCCTGACTGCTTGACCTTCAACCAGTTCTCTGTACCCTAACCGCTGAGCCCTATACCAAGGAATGGCGTGGTCATCGCGTCCGCTGCGTTACCTGTGAGAGTCCGCGTGACGAGCGCCCTCACATCGTTCTCGTTCATGGACTCGGCGCCTAAACCCTTAACCCCTAACCCCTAAACCCTAAACCCGTTTAGGGCTTCAGGGTAGGTTTAGAGCTTCGAGCTGCAACACCCCGCTCGACATTCTACAACGTGCACTATAGAGAACTTGGGTGCTGGAATCTCCTAGAACATGCTGCAAGATATTCAAATGTTTGAGTACCTACTGGAGTTCATAGTATTGTACCATAACGCGGTCCGGTGCAATCTGCTACGGTATTCAAGTCTAACCTACTCGACAACTTTAGGGTACACAATCCACCTGCCCAGGTTTGTGAGCAGAAGGTATCTAACACAGGACCAGGCAGCATTTTATGTTACGACATACAAGGATGATGAATTCTGTACTTTACGTCAACAAGTTGCGGCACACCACCAGATCTCTGAACCCCCGGGTTCAGGGTTTGTGGGGTTCTTTCCTAAACCCTAAACCCT